TCTGTGTAAACTGTCATATGGTTTCTTTTTCTGCTCTCAAGGACAAATCAGCACATACAGACCCGGGGAACCATGACACACTCACTCAAGTGTAACCACTCAGCACACAGAAAAGTATGCAAGAGGTACTTTGACAATAGGCGTGTGGGGGCCTTGGGATACATTCCCAGGGATTGATGGTAGCCTCAGTTCCCATGGTGATTATACATTCAACTCATGACGGCCTACTCAGAACAACCTCCAACGGGAGGTGAGAGACAAAAGGGAATGGAGCCGGAACATGTCGATGCGTCCAGACTGTACAAAGGCTGCCAGCGCCACAGCTAGGCGAAGGGAGCTGCTCAGACTGTCACATTACACATCTCACAGCACTCCAACTGTGCCCTCGTGGGCAGGGGGCCGCTGAGGAACGGCTGGATCAGGAAGGCTTTATGAGACGCGCAAAGATTTTTTGCTCCAATTCGTTTGCCATTCCCTTTATTACCTTATTAGTTACGGCCAGACGAACAACCCTCAATTTCTCTTCCTGTTTCAATTTGCCTAAGAAGCTCTGGGGCCCGATGTCTGTGCGTGTACTCGCACACACACACACAGACACACTTTGCACATTTGAACACTGACTGTCATGCATAATGACCAAGAGGGAGAAAGCAATATTCTTTCCTTTTCTGTTTGATTAAACTTTGTGTGGCAATAATTACAGGTTCACCTGAGCTTGTAACAAGTTTTATGCATGTCTGAAATCTAGGCTGCCCCACGATAACATTGTATAATACAGTTTCATAGCCAAGAAACTGACAATAACATAATGCACTGATGTTTTCATGTTTCACTAGTTTTCTATGACTCGTTTGCATGCATTTAAAGAGCTTTTTTCCCCTCCAGGGTGGCTAGTGGGCCCTCGGGATCCGTCTCTGCACCCTCAGTGCTGCGCTTACAAAGCCATGCACCACACCCAGCTTTTACATGACCATCAGTCTCAAGCTTCTGCAGGAAGCAGTTCACCCGCTGAGCCATCCCCCGGCCACGTGGGATCATGTTACCTCAGTTACGCTGGAGAATGGTTTCATTCCTGCTTCTCCTCCTTTTCTTATACATACACCCTCCTTCCCATGGGAACTACCAATCTGTTCATAAACTTGTTATTTCAAAAATGTACTCCATGTGGCATCACACCGTGCAGCTCCTGTTAAGACTGGCATAATTCCCCCGAAATAAACCCAACACATTTATCAACGGTTCTTTCCTTTTTCAGTGCTGAATATGACTTGATTAGTCCATTACAGGCATGGAACCCATGTTGTTTAACCATATTCATACTGAAAGACATTGAGTTGTTTGCAGTTTGGGCTTTCGTGAATCAAACTGCTATGAATATTCGATTAGCTATTTGTCCGGTTATCATAACTTTTCAGCTCCCTGAAACAAGGCCCAAGACTACAATTGCGGTTGCAGAGTAAGAATCTATACCACTCTGGAATTTCACGTTTTCTCACAGGATATGAGTAAGCTCTTCTCTTTGCATCTCGGCCAGCATATAGTGTTATTGCTATAACACTATATATAACAGCATATAGTTTTCATCTGGCCATTCTGCTATATGCATAGGGGCAGCACATTTCTTTGATTTTTCACTTTTCTAACAGCCATTTTGTATTAATCACTTTTATTGCTCTGACCAGAATAGTCAAGGGAGCAACTTACAGGTTAGGTTCTTTGCACGGTTGATCGGTTCTTCATACTTGGCAGAATAGGATGGCAGTAAGCACAGGTGGCAAAGAGCTTTACTTTGTGATAGACAGGAAGCAGGGAGCAAGACAGGAAACACTAAAAAAGAAAGGAATTAGCAAATGTTTGCCTAGTATAGCCATCAATGTAAATCTCTTGCCTCATTAATAAAAAGATGCAAGATCAGCAGACTGAATTGAAAAATAAGATCCAGGGGGCTGGAGAGATGGCTCAGAGGTTAAGGGTACTGGCTGCTCTTCCAAAGGTCTTGAGTTCAATTCCCGGAAACCACATGGTGGCTCACAACCATCTATAGTGGCATCTGGTGTCCTCTTCTGGTGTGCAGGTGTACATGCAGGCAAAACACTGTAAACGTAATAAATAAAATCTTCAACAACAACAACAAAAAAAAAAAAAAATAAGGAAAAGGAAAAATAAGATCCAGTTTTGGGAATGCAGGTCAGTCGATAGCATGCTTATCTGCATCCATGAAGCCCTGGGTTTACTTCCCAGCATCACAAAAACTGAACACGGAAACAGACACCTGTAATCCCGTCAAAAAGCCAAGGCCATCCTTGGATATGCAGTAACTTCAAGACCAGCCGTAATACACTGAGACAAGCACTAATGGACATCAAAGATCAGGTAGGTACTGAAACAATTACAGTGAATGTCTTCAATGCTCCACTGCTCATTTTCAAATAAGGCATCCAAACTAAAAAAAAATTCTAAACGACTCTAGAAATCAAATATCTACAGACTATTCCACCCAAAAGACACAGAACATACATTTTTCTCAGAAGCCCACGATCGGTGCTAAAATAGATCCCATTTGGGCTGTGGGAGGTCAGTGGGTGAAGGCAACCGAGCCTGGCAACCAGGACCCACTAGGGGAAAGGAGAGAGGCAACTCCTGTGCCGTGCCCTCCGACTCTCATGTGGCACAGACACACTTGTGCCCACGCACACACAGAGTGAGTAAACAATGTAACTAAACAGGAGAGCACAGTCTAGGTCCCAAGCGAAAGCCTAACAATGAAGTGGGATCAAAAGAGCGCTGGGAAGCTTACTGGGTTGCAGAGGCATGAGAGCAGACCCCCACAGCAAGGGAAACCACTGGAGCCACAGAAACAGTGGAGACTGAACACAAAGCAAAAAACAAAACAACAAACACACATACAAAAACAATAACAAAAAAACACACCTGGAGGGGAAATGGGGGTGGGGGGGAGGCAGCAAATTCCAAAGACATCCCTAGTTTGAAAATTTCTATTTCAAAATTTTGGAAAACTAGAAATGGATAAATTCCTTGACGGGCGTGACCTGCCAACATTAAATGGAGAGGATCTAAAAAAACCTGGGCAGCTCCACATAAGTGATAGGCTCAGAGCAGTAACAGTCCTTTAGCAAAGAACAGCCCTCACAGCACAGACTTTCTACCAACCTCTTAACGGAGGAGGGGTAACGTCAGTGTGCCTCAAACTAGTCCATACAACACAGAAAGAAAAGGAGCACCATCGGACTCCCAGTGTGAGCACCACCCTGATGCTGAAACTGGCTAGGCATGAAAACAACAAAAATTACAGAAATACCCCATGACTACACTGGTCTCATCCCATGGATAGAAGGATGTTTCAAATCAATAAATGTAGTACTATATTAAGACAAAATGATAGAAATCATATAACCCGTATCGACAGATGCAGAAATCCCTTCACGATGAAATCCATGCAAAAACTAGGAATAGAAGAATACTTCAACATAATGAAGGCTATATACAATAAGCCTTTAGCTAACATTATACTGAACGGAGAAAAACTGAAAGCATTTCCCTTAAAATCAGGAATGAGGGGCAGGGAGATGGCTCAGTGGTTAACATAGTTGTTGAACAAGTGTGAGGACTGGAGTTCACATTCCTAGAACCCAAGTAAATGCTGGCAAGCTTGCTGGCCTGCCTGTAATTCCAGCCTTGGAAGGCAGACAGGGAATCTTGAGAGCAAGCAATACCGCAATTGCAGAGGGCATACACGCATCATGATGGCGAAGGCATGGGGGCATCATAGCTTAGAAGCAGGGAGATGAGAAAGTAGGACCAGGCTAGAAAACCTCAAGGCTGCCCCCAATGACCACAAGGCTACTGCCTAAGGGCTCCCTGACTTATACAAAGCACAGGCCGGATGGAGACGAGGTATTTAAACGTCAACCCCCCACTCCAGTCAGAATGGCCACTATCAATAAAATATCAACAGGGCAAGGACCGAAGAGGACATGGAGTTTCTGGTTTGGATGTCAGGGTGTAAGGACACGTGACTGTTTGCTTAACATTACAACTCTGGGGGGAGATTTGGGGTCAAGGCCGGAAGTCTATTTTGTACAAATTGACACTGAGGCACCCACAGGATTTGCACGTCTAGTTCAGAGAAGAGCCTGGGTGGGTAGGGCAGGTCCTCGGGTGGCAAATGACACCTGGAAGATAAAGTAGGCATCAGGCAAGGAGGAACCAAGTTAGACAGAACTCCAACTTCTAGCATTACAGAGCATATGCTTTAGGATTAAATAGCCAATACCTTAGTTCCCATGTCTGGAAAAAAGACCACAGTAATAGCTTTTGCCCCACAGAAAAACGCTCGCTCACTCACTAGGGGCCCGCAAGAAGGCTCAGCAGGTAAATTCACTTTCAGGGCAAGCCCCCTCTCCTGAGTTCCACCCCCATGAATGCATGTAAAGGGAGAAGGGACAACTGACTGCATCAAGTTGTCCTCTGACTTCCACATGCCTGTGGTGGCATACACCCACACCCTCCCCATAATAATAAATTCAGTTAAAACATTTAATTTAAAAAGGGCGTGCAATTTTTGTTAGGCTTCAAACCCTGGGGCAAACGGCTGAGGCGTCTATTTAACAACTTTTAGTTTCATAAAGAGGTACCCAGGAATATGAAAAAGCAGTTTGTCCAGGCAGAGCTCTAAGACTTGGAGGCAAACAACATTAAATCTTGGTAACAGAGTGTAAGACTAGATTTGTAAAGCATCCAGCTTTCAGTAGCGACCCCGCCAAAGGTATTCCTAATGGAATGGGTTAAGCATCGTTTCTACGGACCTCCAGATTCGGATTATTTGGTGTGAACTGGAGAGGCAGTCAAGGGGTGAACGGATTGGAGATAGAAAGCCCAGACACGGAACCCAGGAAGAGCTTCCAAGGCTGTAATTCCCGTCGCCGCCACAGGGTGGGGCCCGCCTCCTGTTCTGGGGCCGGGCGTCACGACCCGGAAGCACCTCCCCACTTCCTGCACAGCCGGGATGGCGGCGGCCGCTGTATCCTGGACGCTGTTGCCCGTGGCCCGACGGGGGCTGTGGGGATTTACCCGAAGGCTCCCTCCCCGCGGCGCCGCTGCTCAGGTGAGCCTCGCTCCGCCGCGCCGGCGTGGATCCCGGCGCCTCCGGGACGGGCTTCCGGATCCCTACCCGGGGGAGCAGGCGGCCAGGCCGAGAAGGGGGCGGGACGGGGCGCGGCGGCAGCTCCTCCTCCCCGTGGCTCGCCCGACTCAGGAAGGAGTGCGATTGCCCACCTAAATGCTTAGTGCTTGCAAGTTGGACGCAATCAGTGAGGAATGTTACCTGTTTTTCCACCTAAGACAAGCTTCTTCCTCAGATGAACACACGTTAGCTCTGCGTTTCCGTATACGAGAGCTGCCGTGCTCCCAAGGTTCTTTAAGTACCCGTCTTAGTTACGGTTTCTGTGGCTGTAATAAAACAGCACGACCACGGCAACTCTTAGAAACGAAAACGCATCGGTTGGGGCTGGCTTACAGTTCAGAGATTTAGTCCATGACCATCATGGTAGAAAGCATGGCAGCACAGAGGCAGACTCTGCGCTAGAGAAGAATCTGGGTCTGCAGGCAGCAGGAGGAGAGAGGAAGGCTCGGCCTGGCTTGAGCATTTAAAACCCCAAAGCCCACCCCCAGTGACACACTTCCTCCAACAAGGCCACACCTTCTAGTCGTGCCTCTCCCTGCTGACCAAGCGTTCAAACCTGTGAGCCTGTGGGGGCCAATCCTATTCAAACCAGCACCCACCCTGCATGCCTGATGGTTAGGCCAGGCTCAGTTTTGGGGGTCAGAATTTAGAAAATAAGTTTTCCTCATTACAATGTGAAAAGAAAAAGCTGCGGAAAGATCTGTGGTTGGTCAAACCAGTCGGGCAGAGCGTACTTGGAGTGTCTTCTCAGGTCTCTGCTTTCTGCCCACACACGGTCTTTGGTGAGCAGTAGTTTTTCCGTAGTGAATATGAAACATCTGTAAGAGAGGTCCTTGAGTCAAGTCTGTCTCTGTCTCTGTCTGTGCAATGGTAGTAACTGCTCACGCTCCTGGAGAGAAAGGCATGTGGTCAGCAGTATTGCTTGTTTGAGAGAACGGTTGGTTAAGGAACATTTCCTGATTGGCGTTGAGTAGCAGAACAGTAATACTTGCTCTCTTCCGCTCTCTTCCCTCCTCCTCCTCCGCTGTCAGCCCCGACCTTTCGGAGGATATAGATCAAGAAGCACACAGGCTGCTGCACAGGTTGTTCTGAATGTCCCTGAGACTCGAGTAACATGTTTGGAAAATGGACTCAGAGTAGCTTCTGAGAACTCTGGGCTGTCAACGTGCACCGTAAGTCAGCCGCGGCTGGGCCTGCTGGGGAGGGAGTGCTGCCTTGTGGAGTGGTTTGCCTTGCCAGGTTTCTCTTGAGCCTTTCCTTCCAGTTAGACTTTGCTACCTACAGTGAGAGCATGAACCTCTCGCTGTTTACATCTGTTCGATGACAGCAGCAGGTTTGTGGGCCTAGTTAGCTTTCCCACATAGGGTTCTAAAACTTGCCTCACCTTTTATCGACAAGTTCAGAGTCGTTCAAGGTTGTGTCTAGGGCTATGAAGCTGTGTGTGTTTGATCCGGACTTTCTGGCAATCCCTGATGTTGTTTAAAGCACAGTTACTAACTGGATGTACTAATGAGCTATGTTAAGAATTTGAGTCCCAGATTTGTTTAGTTTGGTTGGTTGGTTTGGTTTTCCGAGACAGGGTTTCTCTGTGAATCCCTGGACCAGACTGGTCTCAAACTCAGAGACCCACCTGTCTCTCTACCTGCCAAGTCCTCAGATTAAAAGTGATGCAACTCTGCCGTCCAGCTGAGTTTGATATGTTTAACAGCCCGGTGAAAATTTCAAGTTTCAGGTTATACAAATGAACTGTCAATTCTTTGTGGACAAAGAAAATGTAAGTGGTGAGATTGGAAATGATTGCCAGAAAAAGGAGTGAGGCTACCTTCTGTCCCCGAAGGCTGAGTTTTATTTCACTGTTTTTAGTAACGTGTCTGTAAGTGCAGGTGCCCAAGTTGGCCAGAAGAGGCTCTCCCATTCTGTGCAGCTGGGGTTGTAGGTTGTTGTGAACTGCCTCACATGGTGCTAGGAGCCAAACTCAGGTGGGTTTGTTTTTTGGGGGGAGGGGGCTTTTTGTTTATTTTTTTTTTTTGTGGGGGAGGTTCAAGACAGGTTCTCTGTGTAGCCTTCCTTGTTCTGGACCTGCTTTGTAGACCAGGCTGGCCTCGAACTCACAGATATCTGTCTACCTCTGCCTCCCTGAGTGCTGGAATCACAGGCGTACATCATCACACCCAGCTAAACAGGTCCTTTGCAAGGACACTCAGTGCTCTTAAGTGCTGAGCCGTCTCTCCAGCTCCAGGGAATGTGCTTAATCATTGTTGATTTCATCAAGGTTGGGCTGTGGATTGACGCTGGAAGTCGATATGAAAATGAGAAGAATAATGGAACCGCTCACTTTCTGGAGCATATGGCTTTCAAGGCAAGTTGTGAAACTTTACTAAAATGCTTTCTCTATGAAAGGAAGTCAGCATAAAAATGCTGTATTTTAAGGACAAGAACTACCTCACTAACATGTCATGTGCTGTTTTTATTTTTCCAGTATTGTATTTGAAATAATTACTGATAATTGCTTTCTGACATTGAAAGAAGGGTTCTCTCTTGGGATACAGGGATAAAAAAACCATCTTTAATGGATATTTTTTTAAACCTAATGTGCTTTATAAACTTGTCCTTGCTTGACAGACATTGACTTTTGTTCCGTTTATTTATTATCTGATGTGTTTAGAATAGATAAAGGAGAAAAGGAAAGTATTATAATTGTGTTTTCTTCTTTCTTTCAAGGGCACCAAAAAGAGGTCCCAGTTAGACCTTGAACTTGAGATTGAAAATATGGGTGCTCATCTTAATGCCTACACCTCCAGAGAACAGACTGTGTACTATGCCAAAGCATTCTCTAAAGATTTGCCAAGAGGTATTGTTATCTGTACTGCCAAAATGGAATTTTTACGAGGGTGCAGACGTAATTTAGCACCGTGTTGTTGTTGTTGTTGTTTTATGTCTGTTGTAAAACCCCTAGAAATGTAAAAAAGAGAACACAAAGGGCATCTGTTCTTACTTTTACCTCCTTACACAGACTTGAAGACTGGTACAAAAAAGGGCTCTTACACTGACTCGAACATAGTTACTCCAGAGTCTCACCTGTAAAGTACGGTATTTTTAACCACTTTTATTCCTTGTTTGATCTTAACAGTGGTCATTAATGATTATTTCAGTAAAACAGAAAATTTTGTTTTATAAAATTTTATAAAACAGAAACAATTATAAAATAATTGTTTTGACAAGATAGCAGAACACTTGGGAGGCAGAGGCAGGCGGATCTCTGTGAGTTCAAGACCAGCCTGGTCTACAAAGCGAGTCCAGGACAACCAGGGTTATTACACAGAGAAATCCTGTCTGGAAAAACAAAAACAAAAAAAGAAACTTGGACAGCCTTAATGAAGTATATTTACTGCTCTACCAGTTCACAGAATTAAATATACATTCAGAAGAAACATTTGTTTCAAACAAGTATGAGGAAATAGGGCCACTGCCCACCTTAGAAAGGTCCAGTCTAGACTAGCAGAGTCCCACATAAAGGAGGGTCTTCCTGTGGGATCCACGCCTCCAGCTGTCTGCAGGCTCCTCCTCACTGGTTCTCGTGGTTGTGTTTTTCCCATCTGGATTTTATTGATAATTATAAAAAGGGAATAGTTTCACTGGTAATTCCCCCCCCCTTTTCATGATCATCTCAGAATGAGCTTTCTCCAATAGCCTGTTATATCCTGTTCTTGGTATTTGAAGTTAATTGGCTCAGATGAGGCCCTATAAAGGGAACTGAAATAAGAAAGAAATTTGCACTAGAACAAACCCTAGTGAAACCTAGGGTTATTAGTTTATTTTACTTTTAATGAAATTTATATTGTTATTGTCCTGAGGATAAATTAGCCTTATCTTTTTCCCATAAAATTTACTTCACCTTTGGCTTCTTATCAAGATAAGGCTTGAGCAGACACAGTTCTGTGAGTAGCTCCTCACGGCATATTTTGGGTTATAGTGATTTTTTTTTTCTTTGTTAAATTGCAGCCTCATTGCTATGCAAATATGGGTAGAAGTATTTCTGTCCATGGGCCTGTGTATTTTTTTCTTTTGGTCTTTCAAGACAAGGTTTTTCTGTGTAGCCCTGGCTGTTGTGGAACTCACTCTGTAGGCCAGGCTGGCTTTGAACTCAGAGATCCACCTGCCTTTGCTTCCTGAGGGCTGAGAGTAAAGATGTGTGCCACCACCTCCCAGCTATTTTATACTTTTTGCTTCGAACCATCTGTATTAACAACCAGATTTCTGTGGAATATCTGACTTAGAATTAGTATAAAGTGATAACGTTTAGGATTTTCTCCAAGGTCTTTTGTACCACAGGATTCCTATTTTACATTTATTTTAGTGTGCTAATGAACTTAAAAAGTGTAATTAATCGTGCTCAGTATTGAATGATGGTTACTGTCATGGTTTCTGATGTTGGTTTAAGAAATTTTAATGCCTGTGTTTCTTCCGGTGTTTTAATTTCAATTAGCTGTAGAAATTCTTGCTGACATAATTCAGAACAGCACACTGGGAGAGGCAGAGATTGAACGTGAGCGTGGAGTAATCCTTCGGGAGATGCAGGAGGTTGAAACCAACCTGCAAGAAGTTGTTTTTGATTACCTTCATGCCACAGCTTATCAGAATACTGCGCTTGGACGGACAATTCTGGGACCAACTGAAAATATCAAGTAGGTATATTTCTCACATGAAAAGTTTGCACAAAAGTTTTGACATATACAAAGTATGTGTTTCAGAAAGTCATTTTCATCCTGATAATTTGAAATTGTGTCTGGCTGTGCTTAGAGACTTGGGAACTAAACGAGGACTGCTGGTACAAATGTCTTTCTGGACATAAAGGACAGGAGGTTTTCTACTTGTAGCCTCGATCTGTGACTGCTTTCAGCATGTGTAGGGTACCCTTAAGTTAAGTACAGTGCGTGAAGATACGCTCTTCCTATTTCCTTTTATAGTTGCTTTACTTGTAGGTGTGGTGGCCTGTGAGACATGGAGATTACTGTGAGTTCTAGGTCAGCCTAGGCTATAGAATGAGACTCTACCTATAAAATAAGATGCAATAAGTAAATTTTATTTCTTACTCTGTTTACAGATCTATAAATCGCAAGGACTTAGTGGATTACATAACCACACATTATAAGGGACCAAGAATCGTGCTGGCTGCTGCTGGAGGTTAGTCACACTTCTCCAAGTGGTTTAGACATGGTTGTTGGATCCTGTAGGGACATCCTGAAAGTGTGCTTATTGGCAGACTCAGAAGTACTGGAACCAGACTCTCTAGTAGGTTTCATTTACAGAAAAACTCAACGATCTAGTCAGTGCATAAGTGCCCTTGCACAGTGTAATTTACTTAGACAACTGGGAGATAGTGTTATATAATAAGAGAGTCTTGAGATTTTTAGTTGAGAAATAGCTTCATCGTTGGTCAAGCCTGGAATGGGTATATCCATTCTTGTGCTCAGTCACTCACTCAGTAATGCAAAGGGGAAATACCTAGGGAGCCACCAGAATGTGTAATATGAATCAAAGCATGAAGGTGGCACTGGAGAGATGACTCAGAGGTTAAGAGCACTGACGGCTCTTCCAGAGGACCTGAGTTCAATTCCCAGCAAACACATGGTGGCTCACGGCCATCTATAATAAGATCTGGTGCCCTTCTGATGTGGAGGTGTACATGCAGACACAACATTGAATTCATAATAAATAAATAATAGTAGTAGTAGTAATAATAATAAATTTATTAATTATGATAAATTAATCTGGCATCAGATTACTTAGGGACATGTGAAGTCTGTGAATGTAAGAAAATTAGCTTGAGACTCTGCCAGGACCTGGCAGCCTGAGTTTATGGTTACAGTCAACTTAATTGACTTAACTTTGTCTCTTTCAATATTAGAGTGCATTGGAGACAGATTGATTTTGTGGTTTGTGTGAATTTGACTTCTCTCTTTTTAGGAATATTACAAATTAAAATGGGAGTCACTCTAAAGTCACTTCTGGGCTTTATGTGTGGGTGTGGTGATAAAAATGAAGCTGGGTACCCACACGCAAACATTGTGTGGCACACTGTTTCTAAAATGGTGGGCATTACAGGGCTTAGACAGTGGGAACTGCCCTGGTTAGGTGGAGCCTCATTGTCATATTAACAGCATATGGATACAAAATTTGGTCCTAGGTTCATTTGGACATTACTGGAGTTGGTTAATGGTATGTCCTAGATTATTAGCATTTCGTCCTATTGGCTTATACATTTTTTGTTGTTTTGAAATCATCTTGCTATATAGCCCGGGCTAGCCTTGAACTTGAAACCATCCTCGTGCCTCAGTCTTCTGAGTGCTGGTACAGCTGAAGCCACCATGCCTGATGATTTATAAATCATAGTTTGTAAATGTTGGTGTTTTAAATGCAATAGGCCAGTTTAAGCCTCTCCTGACCTTTCCTGATTTCGTGTCTCCACTCCCATTTAGTCCTTAGTCATCACGAGGTGTAGCTGTAATACACCAAATACATGCTTTCATCTTCACTTCCTTTAAAGAATCATAGGTCCCCCGTGTTTTAGATTGGGCTATAAGAGGACAAGCTGTGCGTCTGCTTGTTTAACCAAGACAGTTACAGTTCTGACAGCTCTACAATGATGGAAGAAAGGGTCAGGTGTCAGGACTGTATTTCCTTGTCCTGCCATGATTTTGTGTTCTTTTCCTCTGGATTGATACCCAAAGAGACTTTTCTACATGGCAATTCAAAAACACTGTATTGTCTTAGATTGTCATACTTTTACATTACAGATTTTGTTTTTGAAAACAGGGGTTCTCTGTGTAGCATCCTGGAACTTGCTCTGTAGACCAGGCTGGCCTCAAACTTGGGGATCTGCCTTCTTCTGCCTCCCAAGTATAGGGATTAAAGGCATATACCAACATCGCCGAGCTACATCACAGATCTACATCACAGATTTATTTGGAAACTATGGATATAAACTATGCTTTTAATACATTTTTATTTAGAGAAATTTTTCATTTTTTAATGGTTTACTAATTTTTATTTTTTGTGCATTGATGTTTTGTCTGCATGTAAGTCTTGGTGAGGTTGCCTGATCCCCAGGAACTGGAGTTACAGATAGTTGTGAACCGCCACATGGGTGCTGGGAGTTGAACCCTGGTCCTCTGGAAGAGCAGCCAGCACACCCAGCCACTGAGCCATTTCTCCAGCCCTGAGAAATACTTTATTAAGATTTAGTTTTACGCATGTTTTGCTTGCATGTATGCAGGTGCACTACATATAATGCCTAGTGCCTGCAGAGGTCAGAAGGTGGCACTGGGAAATTATAAAGCCTAGAAAAGTCACAGAGACAAATAAAACATTTCCAGCAGATTAATACAAAGAAAGTGGGTTTTCAAGCTTTCTTAACATTATCTCTGAATGTTTCTATGTAGGTGAACATGCATACAGGGAAGGAAAGGTATGCAGCCTAGGCCTTACTAAGCCAAGAATATCTGTCACTTTAAATGGTTTAGTGAATGTAAGTTCTTCATGTGTAATATACATCACATCATTCCTTGTCAAACTTAGGTAACGCATACGACTGGCAGTTGGTTGTGTTGACTGTATTGATGTTCTATATATATAAGGAAATATTTTCCTTCAATTTAGGTGTTTGCCATGACGAACTGCTTGAGTTAGCAAAGTTTCATTTTGGTGACTCTTCGTTTGCACACAAAGGAGAAATACCAGTTTTGCCTCCCTGCAAATTCACTGGAAGCGAGGTATGGCAAGCTCTTGGTTAGAATTTGGCCTTGGGAAGTCTTATGTTACACTGAAAACTGAGTCTAAAGGGCTAGGACATGGCTTACCAGTGTGACAGTGCTGGCTGCACTCAGGACCAAAACTGGGTTCCCACCACCCACCACTGGGCAGCTCACAGGTACCTGTATCTCCAGTTCCAGGAAGTCTGACATCCTCTTTTGGCAGAACAGGGAAGGAGAGGGAAGAGAGAGAGAGTAAAAATTTTAAAAACAAAAAACAAACCATGGAAATGAGTGTACAAAATGTGTGTTTCGGGCTGGAGAGATAGTTCAGTGGGCAGAGGTGCTGGTCATCAGGATGGTAACCTAAATTTGGTCCTGAGTTCAATCCTTGAGACTCCCATGTGGGAAGACAGGACAGACTCCCATGGTCTGCCCGTGTCCACACATACAAGGAGAAATGTAAACATTTCCTTACGTGCATATTTCTAGTAGAAAAAGCATAAACTGAAACACAGAAAAGAATCGAGAGGATAGGCTCATTTGGTTATATTCCTTCCTATTTCACTTAATTGACTTGCCTTTCTTTTCTGAGGAAGCAGGGTATAAGAGCAATGTTCCTATTTGCTCACTTTGTGTTTTTCTTTTTGTATAATGCAAAAAAACCACCTGATTAAAAACTGAATTTTTACGTTCGAATTGGGTGTGTTCTTGGCTTCATATCTGCCCTACAGGTGCAGTTCTGGAGATTGTTATTAGAGTCAAAACGTGCAGAGAATCTACTGCTTAGCTTCAGTGTTCTGTATCAGGCCTAGTTTGCCACGTTATGATGCCCACAGTAGTATGTGGAAGGAGGTCTTATGTTGGCAGCTACACAGATTTATGCCACATACTGATTTAAATCTGGATTAAAAAATCATATTGGTAGACATAAGATATTAGTGCAATAAGGCAACTCCTTTTGAGCAGGTGGTATTTCAGATGAGGTGTCCTGGAATGAAACTTCCTCTGTACGTCATGAAAATGTGTGAGCCACAGTGTAATGCTACCTGATAGTTAAAATAGAGTCACGGTGAGCATTTTAACAGAGTTCATAGCATGGGCCCATTCCTTACCTAGTTATTTTGCTGCTCCTTACCCAGATCCGAGTGAGGGATGACAAGATGCCTCTGGCACACCTTGCAGTAGCTGTGGAGGCAGTCGGTTGGGCACATCCAGACACAATCTGTCTCATGGTAGCAAACACACTGATAGGCAACTGGGATCGCTCTTTCGGAGGAGGGATGGTAAGTGATTTTTAAAGTAACTTCATGTAAATGGTGGGAAAGTGTCAGGTTTTTCTAAATATAAATTCCTTGTATGACTCTACCCATTTTTGAAAGTGCAAAACAAGATTACCATGATTTTGGCTTAAAATATTAACTCATCTTGGGTTGCACCTAAGCCAGGACCAAAAAAATAGTCTTTGTCATACTGTTTGGTAGCAGGATAGTTCACAAAATAAGGGCAGAATTCATTTTTACTGTGAGAATAATATTAATGTCCTAACTGTCTGGGCATGTTAGCATGCGCAGAAAACCGCTTTTTTATTAGTACACACTGAAGAGTGTAGAGGCAAGAAGTCACAGCTACCTCCGAAACTGTTAAGGACAGATAAGGCATAGTTAAGTGGTGTGTGCCTTACATGCCTGAGCCTTAGGTTCAACAAACAAGGAGCAGCATGTCTGAAAAGAAAGCAGACACGGTAAAAAGTTGTTAAAGAGGTCAAAGGGACCTCTTTGTAGTAATTTTACGTTTCTAAAGTTTAAATTTCACAATAGTGTGTTAATTTCTCTGAAAGAGCCAAACAAAATACATTTCCTGTAACTGTCTTGGGTTTTCTGTGCATCTTCACTTCAGGATGCATAGTCAGAGCCTTCCATGGCCCAGTATCAGCACTGTACTATCTTAATAAGTGCAGCTACTAACCTAGTTGCAAGAACTCATTGTGTTTAGAGTATATATTGAGCCAGATGAATGCAATTATTTGAATTCTAAAGTTATTATTGAGGTGTTGCTTGCTAAAACTGGGAACTTGAGCAGAGTTGGCTCATGGTGGTCCATGCCTTTGACTCCAGTACTCCAGAGGCAGAGGCATGCAGATCTCTTGAGTTTGAGGCCATCCTGATGTACATAGTGTGTTCTAAGCCAGTCAGGGCTATGCAATGCGATCCTGGTTAGCCCAGTAGGGTTAGTGCTCAGTAATTGACACAGAGCTCACTTCTCTGTGGAGATTTGGATTCACATGGCCAGTTTATAAACCCAGTTGGATGCTCTCCTTTACAGAATTTATCTAGCAAGCTGGCCCAGCTTACCTGCCATGGCAATCTCTGCCACAGCTTCCAGTCCTTCAACACTTCCTACACAGACACAGGATTATGGGGACTCTACATGGTGTGTGAACAAGCCACAGTTGCTGACATGCTGCATGCGGTACAAAAAGAATGGTGAGAAAAACCTTGAACTAGTTAAAGCCTTAACCTAAACCTGTTATTTTAGGCCAGTTTCCTAATGATGGTAACTTTAGCTTTTAAAGGAGTGGGTGCAATGTTTTTAACAACTAATGTTTCTTTTAAACAACTGTGGTGGGCTGGAGAGCTGGCTCAGTGGTTAAGAGCACTGGCTGTTCTTCCAAAGGTCCTGAGTTCAATTCCCAGCAACCACTTTGTGGCTTATAACCATCTATAGCGAGATCTGGTACCCTCTTCTGGCATGCAGGCAGAATGCTGTATAAATAATCTTTAAAAAACACAAAACATCATGCAAAGCTGATAATACTCTAAAACATTTATAAGTGAACTAAAACTTCAAAAAATATCTCTGAAAGCATGAGGGGTGAAGACATAGTAGACCGCTCACTACTATACCCAGATCCCTGGTTTGAACCCCAGTACTAGTATCCCAAAGGAAAAAAAAAGTAATTTAGCCTGAAAGATAGGTTAGGAAAGTGAATGTGAACTTACCCTCACCAAAAGCAGGGATGCTGCAACCCTTTAATACAGTGCCTTATGTTGAGGTGACCCTAAACCATAAAAGTATTTTGTTGCTACTTCATAACTGTAATTTTGCTGTTATGAATTGTAAGTATCTGATATGTGACCCACAGGTTGCGAACCACCGACCAGTAGGCCAAGGCAGAAAAATGTGCAAATGCTTCCTAGAAATTTTGGTTTCCTTCGTTATTAATGGCCTTAAATCTCTAAGTTTAGTTAACTGAGATATATCTGATTATTAATTTAATGACTGGGCTGTTATACTCAGCTGATTCTCTTGAGAAACCAAGGGGTGACCCATTAACCCAACTCTCTTTTAGCATACAATGTCAACCTCATAGGGGGATATTTGTGAAGGTTTAAGACTATTCTCACAATGTGGTTATTTATTTTTTTTAAGATTTATTTACTTATTTTATGTGTGTAAGTGCTTTATCTGCATGTGCATTTGCATGCCAGAAGAGGGCATAAGATCCCATCATAGATGCTTGTGAACCACCATGTAGTTGCTGGGAATTGAACTCAGGACCTCTGGAAGAGTAGACAGTGCTCTTAACTGCTGAGCCGTCTCTTGAGCCCCACAATGTGATTATTCTGTTTTTACATTGTATTACTGTCTCTGCTAATTAGCAATTCATCAAAGTTAGAACTTTTGAGATGTTAATGGTACTTGCAAAAGTAATTAGTACTTTAGCTTTAGGATTAGTAATTTCAGCTTTTTACTGAATTGAAATATAGTCATTTGTATGTTGTGTTACAACATAGGGTATACCGATCTTGTTCCTTTAAGTCAGCAAGTTAGATTTTATAACATTCGCCAGATTTTATAACTTATGGCCATTTCCAAATGTTTTAGGATGCGTCTTTGTACAAATGTTACGGAAAGTGAAGTGGCACGAGCAAAAAACCTTCTGAAAACAAACATGTTGCTGCAGCTTGACGGTAAGAGCTTTAGAGGATGGGCTGGGGGTGCTCGGAGGTCAGCCCTGCTCTGAAGCTTTGCTGTCGTCAGGGTTGATATCTGTCTGGATACTACATTTCCTCCTCTGAACAGGTTCCACTCCAATTTGTGAAGACATCGGTAGGCAGATGCTGTGCTACAACAGGAGAATTCCCATCCCTGAGCTTGAAGCAAGAATTGACGTAAGTAATCGACTTCGGGTAAAGAGTCAGTTATAAGCTGAGGCTCCCTAAGTCTCGTATGTAGAGTCTGTCTGCACTACGATGTCCTAATGTTAGTTTTGTCCCTATTGCAGGCTGTGAATGCAGAGATGGTTCGAGAAGTGTGTACCAAGTACATTTATAACAAAAGCCCAGCTATTGCTGCTCTTGGTAAGCCTGGCTCCTCTCCTTGCACAGAGTTGGCTAAGGAGTTGGAGTCCTGTTCTAACTGTCTTCTTTTGAATCCACAGGTCCTATTGAGCGGTTACCTGATTTTAACCAGATTTGTAGTAACATGCGCTGGACTCGTGACTAATTTTTCTGATCAAATAGTCTGTACATACATATTTATAAAGCTAAGAGATCTGGAGTTTTGAAAAGCTGTTCAAATGAAAAAATAAATACTTACTTGGAACTTTTGTGTTAATCTGTCATCTGTACTTTTGAGGTTGACTACAACCCTGTGGTTTAGTGTAAGGTTGAACTTTGTGTTTGGAATAGCACACTTTTAAATGAGGACTATAATTCCGAGTGATAGTTTGTACAGTATTTTCAGTTTTATTATGAAAGTGCTCAAAGCCAGGACTGCCTGCATCATTTCTTGGCTCTGCCTGCATTCAGTACTTGCTCCTGAGCAGCTTTCTTTGCTTTTACCATCTCGACGAGTTCCTAGGAAGAGACAGGTTGTTGAAATGAGAACTCTCACCTGAACACAGACAGTACTGTAACTGAGTGATGGAGGGGTGGAGGGACATGCCACTCATCAGTGCTCAGGAGACTGAGGCTTAGGCTGTCCAATGAGATCTTGTCCCCAGACCAACAAAAAGATAGTACTAGAGATGCCAAGTTCACCAACTGCCAGGAATAAGGTTAGGCTTGTTTTCCTGTAATAATTTTGGCTCCCAAACTATTACGATATTAAAATCAGCACTGTTATCACTAACCATTAGTTGACAAATAAGAACGCCAACTAAACCGTACATGAACTGATAAATCTGTTAATGCCACAACCTTGTATCGTCTCATGCAGTCCTTCTTCGTCCTGCCAGGGACTGCCTCAGCTATCTTTTCCCATCTTTCAGGAGTATTTACTGGGTACGTTTTCAAAGCCTGTTCTAAAAGCTTTTGTTCTTCTGTTGTCCAAGGGGTAAAATCTGTGCAGGGACCTGTTTAAGACAAAATTTGTTTGAAAATTCATAGTGTGAATGGTAGAAAATGATCTTTGAGCACCTTCCTAGATGAATCTTTTGGTACCTGTCTCCCCTATTATCAAGTTAAGTGCCCCCTCTGACACAGCATATGTAAAACACATTTCTAAAGGTGACATACATATGTGTGTATATATGCATGTATAATTCCCTCTCACTGGTTAGCAGCATCTGCTGAAAAGCCCATTCTTCCTCTAATGGACTCTGAAGAGCTTCTATTCCCATCTAATGGCTAGTTAAGTAAACTTGCTACTTAGTTGGATACATTTGCTTTGTCCCTTTCAGACCGCTAAATGTCACTTTTCTAGTCATTCCAGAAACAGATCCCAAGCTTTACAGACTTTGGGGTGGCCTGGAACCCCAATCAGCCTCTCTACTACAGAAATATACTTTACCTTCAAATCGTTCTGATGGGGCCGCACTGTCAGCCTGAGGAGCTGCTCCATGTTCTTTTTTAAACTTATCAAAAGCCTTTTTATTAATGTCATCTTTTTGATGAGGGTCTGAGAAATAAAGAAAAAAAAAGAAAAACATAAAATTAAGAGAAACCAAATCTTTGATTATTACTTTAAAAAAAAATATGTTCAAGGCAACAAGCTGATTTTTAAAAATTTAAAAAAAATTTTTTTAAAAATTACCAAGTTTTTGGAGGCTTTTAGCTTTGCTAATAACATCTTTCGCAGTTCTTTTAATGCCAGAAGAAGAATGTATGTTCATATAATTAGCAATGACTTCCCATCTAGAGAAACCAGTATAAAAGTTTAATACAGAAAAACAGAACAAAAAGCATTACATCTTTACTGTAGAGTTTGGTTCTATGAACTATAGCTCTTAAAAATCTATAGAAAGAACTCTAAGTTAGTTTAATGATGTTATTAATTACCACTATTAGATTTTCTTTTTAAGTATTTATTTATTTTATATGCACCTGTGTTTTGCCTGTATGTATATCTGTGTGAGGGTGTTGAATTTTCTGGAACTGGAGTTACAGACAGCCATGTGGGCGCTAGGAATTGAACCCAGGTCCTCTGGAAGAACAGCCAGTGCTCTTACCCACTAAGCCATCTCTCCAGCTCCTAGATTTTCTTAATAGGTTCGAATCAACCATCTGTAGTCTTGTTTTTAAATAAAGCCCAGCAGAAATAACTTATCTGCACTGCTGGTTTAGTGTATTCTTTAAAAGGACAGATGACTGAAAAATAAGAGCCTCAGTTTGCTCATATGCAGTGAGGGAGTCTGGATCTTTAAGGCTGGAATTGGAATCCTAGACTTTGAAGTAAGATCTGGTTTGAGGTAAAAAGCCCGGAAAGAAAAAACTGCAAAGGGGAAACTACATGACATACACTCTAGCCCCTATTGTTAGCCGTGGTGTATGAGACCAGTGAATGGGAACAGCTAAAGCCTGAGCTGCGCCCTGTGATGCGCCTTGCTCTACGTATGGAGAAGTGGTACATGCATGAGTGCAGCAAATTCAGAATGGACCTAGTTCTCACATTTCCCACTGTGACAGAACTTAGTGAAAGGCAGTCTTTCTACACTCAGGCTTCTCTCCACCCGTTTCTGTTAAGCTGCCTCTTGCCTCTCTAATATCTCTAGGCCCCACTGTGTACTGAAAATTTTCAAGAAAGCAAGTACCTTGAGTTTGTCCCAGCAGGGAAGAGGTTGACAGCTTTAATTAATAATTGCAGATCATCTTCTGACCAGTTCTTACTGCCACTCCCACTTCCACCAGTTGACTTCTCTGCATTCTTAGATGCTTGCCGCATCCGAGCGTCAGCTTCCTCCTTCTCTTTCCTCATCTGCTCATTTACTTCTTCTATCTACATGAATACTGCTAGGTCAGTCTTAAAAAGCATGTCGTGTCCTCCCCCCATTTCTGACTGCCATGTTGTATTCCTCAACCTAACACCCACCTCATTCCAACCTAAACTCCACTGGTGAGACTAGGCAAGCACCAGCTTTTCACCTGGCTTCTCACTGCGCCTTCCAAAGGCCACCACAGCCTGAACTGCCCTTGGACTCACTGGCAAGGTGACTGGTCTTGTGCTATTCACACACTAGCTACCTCAAATCTCTTAAGCTCATTTTCTCTACAAAAATGTAAGCCTACAGGAAAGCAGTCTGCCTTATGTTGGGAGTTCTAGCCTTTACAGTGTTCTCCCCGCTTACCTTTAAATATGCACAAACAAAACCTTTATATGGCTTGAAGCTCCTGTAGGCTGTTGCCTTGCGGTCACCTGTGCCTCATTCTTCTTTCAGGCCCACAGAACCAGTTATCAAGTCCCCACAATTGTAACTCTGAAACATTCTCCTGATTCTCGTCTTTCTTACAGAAAAATTATAGTTACTTTCTCTCTGTCTTATGCGCCTGCTCACCAACACCAGATAATTAGTGCAACACTGAACCATCTGCTAACTGAAATAGCTTGTGGGAATGGAAACTGGTCATGTTTAAAACTCAGTTTTGCTCAATTCTTGCTAATCAACTTATTTTCCTGTCTTCCTTTCCATAATCTTCTACTATCTCTAGTTTACGTTCCTTTCCAAAGCTGGTTCAAACCCTTCACTCATCTTTTCCTCCACCATTCCCATGCAGCCTCCAGCTTTGGCATTTATTGAATGCCCTCCACTAATTGAGCCTCAGGCGCATTCTTTTGACATAACTGTTCTATGACAATGGTAGCATTACACATTCCCCAAAACACACCTAGACACACAGCACTATGTAATAGGACTGTCAGACTTTACATTTAGTATATATAGTAGGCACTGATACTTGTTGAAGTGAATTCAGTTTCGGGGCCTGCCTAATTGCTTTTCTATAAAATAAAAGGTATGATTAGACATAACAAAGTTTTTTGTTTGTTTTGTTTATAAATATTAGCCTATGAAATACTCTGGGAATGATCAAAACAATTTTTAAATCAATACTTAAGCAAACAAACAAACCATAACTAATGTGCTAAAGACTCCAAACTAAATACTACATGATTGAAAAATACAAATTAGCCAGGCAGTGGTGCTTCAAGCCTTTAATTCCAAAGCTTGGGAGGCAGAAGCAGGCGGATCTCCCAGTTTGAGTCAGCCTGGTCTACAGAGTGAGTTTCTAGACAGCCAGGGCTACACAGGGCCTATCTTGAAAACCAAACCAAACCAAAAGTGTATTAAATTAATTTTAAATCAGCAAAATACTTAATATAAACAAAATATAGTAGGAAACACACAGAAGAATCTGATGCTCTTTGCCTTTTGTAACCTACACATCAGGTGAAGAAATAAGTAAAATAATTAAATGGCAAATATAAGCAGAAGTGATGTATGCTATTACCTGTTTTTCAAGTGCAGCTTTTCCTACTTCTCTTGTAGATGATGTCAGTATTTCGTTCAAACACTGTAAGCTACAGAAAAGAGTGAAAGCTGGGAGTGTGGCTCCATAGCATAGCCTTTATTTAGCATGCACAAAACCTCAGGCTCCATTTTCAAGACACACACACACACACACACACACACACACACACACACACACACTGCAAAAAGAAAAATAAGGGTGGTTTAAAATTATCTGGAACCCGTAAGAAGCTGTCAGAGGCATCTTAGATATACCTTGCTAGTTCAAGCCGATCACAAAGTTTTTCCACTTCTTCCATCATTTTAACACGATCTGCCTCATTGTCTGAAAAGTGATTCCAGTTCTAGAAGTACAAATGCAAATGTTTCCAGTTTCCATCTCCAACACTACAAACATCTAAGCACACCATCAGCCAAGCCGAAAGCATGAGCTTCCCATACACCAGCTGTATTCTCAGTGTTTTCACTGATCAGCAAACCAAATGTGAGTTGGGGTGCAAATGAGAAGAGAGTGCAGAATACACATGGATGCTGGAAACTCACAGTAATTGCTCTGATACTTCAGGATCAGGAAGTTGGCAGCCCTCCTCACCCCCAGTTTTCTGCTGTCTGAATGTGCTGAATGGGAAAGTTTATTGGAAAACTTAAATATGAAAAGTTTTAAAGGGGTTGTAATATAGTATGCTAAGTAACAGAAGCTATTAACAAAAAAATCTGACTAACTGAAGATTATACTCATAATGGAACAGATTTATGTACATGAATGTACAAATAATTGGCAGCTGGAAAACGTTGCTGCCAACAGTCATGCCTTCCATTTCTCATTTCCTGCTTCTTTTAACCTGTGGGTTATGGTTCT